TTGAATGTTTTGTTTAACTTATTTTGTTGCTGAAACTAACCTATTACTATGAGCTGTGTCTCAAGGTCTGAGTACTCTTTAGTTCGTTACACCATACTTGAAACTCTTTGACTCCCTATTCCAATACACCCCTGTAATCTGTCGTAGTATAAGGTCTGAGTATTCTGTAGATTCCTGGTCTCTTGGTTTATTGAAAAATCCTTTGCATTATGTTTCTTGGCATCTGTATTTTCAAGTGTACAAAATGTAGGGTTCTAGCCTTCTAGGTTAAACTGCTGGGTTTAGAGTTTCGTCCACCATTTTTAATCTCTTCTAAACAGCAGTCTACTAAAGTGTTGGGTCTCCATTCCCTTTGTTATCCTGTTGAAAAGTACTGTCGTTTTTCCCTGATTTTGAATTCAAAAGCTTATCCTCATGAGTCACCTATCTCCATTGCTGGTGTGTCCAAGAGTTTGAAAGTATAAAAATCTTTGCTTAGTTACTAAAAAATTAAACACCTCATGTATAGTCCCCTCGAGGTTTCTCTTCATAATTGAATGCTTAATATTTGTTGAAGGAACACTATTTTTTTCTAAACTGCAGATTATATAAGCAAGGAGAATTGAAAAACTATACCCCAACATTGCCTGATTTCTCAGACTAAGCTGTTACAATGCATTCCTTTATTATCCTATTAAATACTATATTTTTAAAATTCACTTCTTGTTGTATGGATTTTGGTGGGGGAAAGGGTGGGGAATGCAAAGTCTTATATGTTCTGCAATAGACATTTCATTGTACATTTGTACTCCATGAAAGTTATGGCCTGATTAAAAACGTTTTTTCAAATGTAACTTTTTTGTTTTCAACCAAATTCTTTAAATCTGTCTAATTGAAGTTAATACTGCAACTGTAATTTAATTGGACCATGCTAACCTAATACATGGAGTCTTGGGTTCCCAAATGACAGCCTTATCACTACTTAGACAGCACCAAGTACATAATAACAATGCATCATCTAGGCCTATTTTGAAATGGAGAGTTGCAAAATGCTTATAATATCTAATTTTCGCTGTGCCATTGGCAACTTGCAAGTAGTAATGCATAATCAAGTAATGAACTTATTTTCTGCATATTAAAGGGATCATTATTGGCTCAAACTGGAAAATTGGTAGCTTTCTGCATTTTGACTTGCATATTGTAATTCATTTATCCGCGATACTTTCCGTTGTTGGATAATAGAAGTTCTTCAGTTGAATCATTTACATAAATTTACTCTAGGAACTAAAAAGTAAACAAAAGTGCACAGAATTACATCTAATGTATAAGACATGTACAGCTTTAGTATGGTGGGTAACCATGGAAGTTTCACTTTGGTTCCATAGACTAATATTGCTGAACCCATGACGGTTGTATTCTATCTGCTGAGGTTTGTCAAACCCAGAGTCAATGCGAATGAAGTAATACTTTGATCAGTTGATAAGAGTATAAAGAAATAATAGCTTTTGTTGATAGTAATTTAATTGCTAAAAGTTTCATATTTTAACCAATCTACTAGTGGCAATTGGATTCAATTTACCAATTTGATGGGAGGTTTTAAGCAATGTCTTTCTATTCATTACATTCATCAAATTTGTCTTCTCTTCCAAATCCCAATATGAAATCATTTTCAGATTTGACATGAGTTTGAATTACTCTATCCTAAAAATATGTAAGGCCTGTCCAACTCATACACCACAACTATCGAAGGAAGTCTAAGCCATTTCCTTGGCTGTTTTAGCATCACTTTTTACAGTTAAAATTTAAATATGAGTGTACATACTTGAAGCAGCATAAGAAGCAGCTGAAGGATGAGTGAGTTGCTTTGAGAGACCCTGCTGTGCTCTGTGTCCATATGATCAGTACCCTTTTCTTTCAGCAACAGATCCTGCTGCGCCCTGTGTACATACGATCAGTACCCTTTTTCTTTCAGGAATAAATGTGAGGCAGTCCAGGTCTCTAGGAGCAAAACAGGTTGAAATTGAGAGTGATTTTATATTACTATTGTTTTTTAAGATAGAAATGTGTTGAAGCAGATTAGTGATTCTACCATTCATAAGCTTTTATTAACCTTACTTTGGTTTGTGTAATTGTGAACAGAATTTGCAATGATTGGAGTATGTAGATGGGAAATACAAGTACTCGTATATGTTAATTATTGTTGCCTTCCCTGCCACCTCAATATATTGATAACAGACTGACAATGGCTACATGTTTTATTCTTGAGCTGTAAGCCTGTAACTGGTTCATCCGATTCGTGCCAAATTATTCCAAAGCCATTTCAGCGAATGTGTCCTATTCTACAACTACTTTTTCAGCATGGCTTTCTTGAGGTGGCTGTCTGGACTATGGAGTGCTAAAATTTGTTCTGCAGAATCGAAGAGTTTGACCGCAATTCTTTGAGGACTTATGGACTATGTATGCAACATCCACCAGTAGATGGTGATTAGAACTTCCTGCTTGTGTTTTTGTTAATCAAACATCAGAAGCATGAGATTGGTTGGTCTCTTAGAGTTGTATATTTATATTCTCTTGATCGAAACTACTTGAGTCACATTTACTTTAAACTCTGCAACATACTCTGTAACAACTAACAACCATATATAATAACTGTTGTGAAATGAAAAAAAAAAAAAAAAAAAAACTTTTATAATAACTACATTAGTATTCATGTATCATGTACATAACGTAACAAGATCAATATCTCTTCTTGTTGTTCTGTTTCCTAGAGTACACCATACCTCTAATCCCATCAGGGTCTGCAACAAACCCCAACGGCCTATAAAACCCAAGAACTCGAGGCTCCGAATACAGCGCTATATTCGTAATCCCTTTCTGCATCAACTCCTCAAGTATCCTCTCCATGACCGCCTTCCCTAACCCGACTCCTTGAAATACAGGATCAACAACAACATCCCATATGATAGCATTGAACACTCCATCCCCTGTTGCTCTAGCAAAGGCCACTGGCCTTTGTGTTTTATTGTACTGCACCCATATAAGAGAATCTGTATGTTCGAGGGCAATTCGTATCTTATCCGGGTCCCGCCTTGGAAACCCAACGGCTACAAAGACCGAGTTGAGGTGATCAAGGTTGAGGCCATCAGTGTTGCGGTGAAGGGTAAAGCCTTTGGATTCGAGTGCGTTGTCGGACACGGAGTAGGATGTTGTAGGGAGTTGAGCTGAAATGATAGGGAGTGTTAGTCTTTGAGGGTGAGTTTTGGTAAGGCGGAGGGAGGGTGATGGAAGAGGGGTGAATACAATGCTAGAGCGGAGGAGCATTGTATTTGGGTGCTAAATGTTGGGTTGTAAAAGGAGAAATATGGTTGAAATTGTATGGTATGGGATGATGATATGTCTTGTGTGTTCATGGATTTTAGTGGGGTTATTTAAAAAAATATATTATTTTCTTGCTAGAAATTAAAAAATTGTGGTTGTTATTGTGTTGTTGGGGAAAAGCAGGAAAGGTGTGTTGAGCCAGTGAGCCCAATTATTTGCGGTAAGAGGGAGACATCCTGGTGCCTTGGCCCAAGGGTCGCGGGGTGGAAGGTTCGAGCCTTTATTTTTGGTATTTGGACAATAGATAATTAAAGAACTTATTAGAATTCAATAAATTGATTTGAAAAAGATTTGTTTCCTAGCTTTATTTGTGAAATTGTTAGGCAGTTTATGTAATAAATTATTTTGGTGGTTGGTAAAATAGATTTAAAGAGCTAAAAACCATCTAATACAACAACCTAATCAATTTTGTTAATACAACCAACCAATTATATCAACTATTCAATTAGATTGAAAGACCAAAAAACATTCATTTTGATGAGCAAAGTTTGATTGAAAAAAGTTCTAATCATGATTCAATCTACCTTATGCTGATTATTTGTAACTGAGTGGGTGAATGATTAACATATGGAATGGAGCATAATCTAAATTCGATTCGATTAATCACTGATTTAAAATTCTTTTAAGTCTAAATTAAAACTTCATTTTAACATATACAGGTAGGGGTGATCAAAAAATCAGGGTACCCTGAATCGAAATCGGAACCTGTTAGGAACCGCAGGTACTGATTTCGGGTAGCAAACTAGAGAGCCTATTGTAACAGGTTCCGGTTCAGGTTCTCAATTTTTTGGAACCGGAACCTGTAGGGTACCCTGTACCCAATAAAAGTATCACTTAATTTCAAATTATATACTAATTCTTACTCAATTTTTAAATAATTAATATCAAAATTACAATTATAAAAAATTTTATATTAAATTTGTTAGAAAACTACTATTAGTTTGTCTTATTTGCAAGTTGCAAACATTATAAATTAGTTACCAACCAGCTTTTATTTAAAAAAAAATCCGCGAAAAAGTTAGTGAGTATATTATAATACAGGGTACGACCTGGAACCTGTAGGTTCCGGTTTCGATTCCCAATTTCCAGGAACCTGTTCAACAGGTTCCAATTCCGGTTCCCATTTTGAGGAACCTGTTGCAACAGGTTCCGGTTCTTGGAATTTTTACAAGGTACCCTGTTATGCTCACCCCTACATACAGGCCATGTTTGGTAGACTTTTTTGTTAGCTTTTAGCTTTTTTTTATGTGGTCAAACCGTCAAACAGCCAAAAAAAGTGTTTGGTAATTGGGTTTCTGCTACTCCACTAGTTATCTAATAAACAACCAACAATTTAATTTAACAAACATTTTTATAAACAATCAATTTCAAAAGCCATCATAAATGACTAAACATTTCAACTAGTCAAACAAACCAAATAAACCAGTTAACCGCCAAGACCCAACACCCATTTGCCAAACCACAATTACCGATGTGTATAGATTTTTATGTACTCGTACATCATCGCTCTATAATTCACCAAACTTTCACCCATCCTCAATCTAAACAAGGGCATATTCGACTATGTGGGGGGCAGCAGGGCAAGTCTGTAGTCTGTACTATATAACTCGTCACAATGGTGTCCTAAATTCCTAATTGAAAATTGGCAAATAAACAAATACAAGGCCTAAAAGTTGAAATATTGCCATGTGGGTAGGGGGTTGGTGAGACGTTTCAGGCTGCTCGATCTTTAGTGGGGTGTTGGTTGGTTGGTCCATGATGAGAACATAAAAACTTTGTAATATACCAAATTATTCATTCAATCGTGTAAGGCAATTTTGACCTGCTTCACTTGCTAGGAAGGAGAGAGAAAGGCTCAAAGGCAGCATTTTTCAGGCTCTCACTATTTAATCAAACATTCAACATCGTTACATTCTACACCAATACTTCTAAATTTTATTCTATAAAACCCAAATCGTTATTTTTTATCTGGGTTTTCATTTCATTTTCTATCCACCAATTTTTGAAGCAGGTATATCATTTTTCTTTGTTACTCGTATCTTTTTTTTATAATCCACTGCTAATTGATGAATTGATTGATCTGGGTATTTTTATTTCTTGTTAATTTTGTGTGTTTTCTAGTGTTTTTTTTTTTTAATAATCATGTGTTTGTTTGTGAAATCAGTTGGTAGAATTTCTTTTCTTCTTTAGATATATGAAGATCTATCATGATCTTCAAATTTTTTGATGATCAGTTTTTTGGGGTTGTTTTTTTATTCAATTAGTTTTGTGATTGGTTTGAATTAGAGATCCATTCAATTACAAGTAGATAAAAAAAATTAGATCAAAATTGGATGAATTTCTGATGGAATTGGCACAATTTCTGGATTTTTTTTTATATGTATTTTGCTTTACTTACTGTAATATGAGTAAGCCTGAAAAGTTTCCTGCTTTAGTTTGATTAACTTTCTGGAGAAAGATATTGTGTACTCTTAGTGGCTTGATTCGATTCATGAGGATATACTCTTAATGTCGCGCTCTTTTCCATCAGTGTCAAGGATCAGGCAGATGTGATGTTATTGAATCGTTCATGGTACTGGATTTTTGAAATCAAAATTTGTCAAAATTCCCACCTTTGATCTACATTCTTTTGGTATAGGAATAGGCCTGTGTTTTGTTTCTATGTAGCGCCTTTTGTGATATTAGTAAGTTGTAGGAAGAGTTGAATTTATTATTTTGCTCAAGATGCTATATTAGTGAGTAGATAGCAATTTACAGAAGTGTTTGGTAGATTAGTGTGGTAGGTTAGCAGTTTGCTGTTTGGATGTTATGAACTATGATATAAGGACATGAGTGCATTTTGCTAAAAGTAGTAGCATGAGGAAACTAATTGATATGAAAAGGGATAATTATAGCATGTTGAAAAATAATGCTCGTTGATTGATTTCAATCAGCTCTTATCTTCTGCCTATTGTTTACTGAATACCCTCTAATGCTATGTTTGGATATTAGTTGATAACATGTTAGATGAACATATAGCTCATTATATTAGATGTATTGAGCTCATAGTAGGTTGTTTGGTTAAGTAGCGATTTTGGATGTACAAAATGACATAAGTACAATTTGTTTAAATAATAGCACAATGTAAATAATTAGAATTATATCCTAAGGGGTCTCGGGTAGTTTAATTAAAAGTGAATATAATCTTTATTACGGCTCTCTTAGTAGCATATGTGAAGAGTGTAAACATAAATTAGCTCTTCGAATACACTTTTTACTAAATGCCAGTGGCTTATAGCATGAGTGCATGACAAAGAAAATCGACTATTTTGTGCTGAGTATGCTCATTTTCCCCCTATCTACTCTTTACATTGAATCCCTAAATTTCATTTATTAATTATTATAGCAGTCCTTCCATTTATCTTCTCTTATCTGGTTTTGATGTTTACTTCTCTATTTGTGTATGTTTTAAAAAAATTATACCTTGATAATTTATATTTTTTGATAGGTATAAGTGATGGCTCCTCCAACAAGAATTGGTCTTGCTGGTCTGGCTGTTATGGGTCAAAATCTTGCCCTTAACATTGCTGAAAAAGGATTCCCCATTTCTGTTTACAACAGAACTACCTCAAAAGTTGATGAGACTGTTGAACGAGCCAAACAAGAAGGAAATCTTCCTGTGTACGGTTGTCATGACCCTGAATCCTTTGTCAATTCAATCCAGAAGCCCCGTGTTGTAATCATGCTTGTCAAGGCAGGGGCTCCAGTTGATGCAACCATCAAAACTTTGTCTGCCTATTTGGAGAAGGGGGACTGCATCATTGATGGAGGTAACGAGTGGTATGAGAATACCGAGAGAAGAGAGAAAGCAATGGAGGAAAAGGGACTGCTCTACCTTGGAATGGGAGTTTCAGGTGGTGAAGAGGGTGCAAGAAATGGACCCTCTTTGATGCCTGGTGGTTCTTTTGATGCTTACAAGAACATTGAGGACATCGTTCTTAAGGTAGCCGCCCAGGTTGATAGTGGCCCCTGTGTAACCTATATTGGTAAAGGAGGCTCAGGCAATTTTGTTAAGATGGTTCACAATGGAATTGAGTACGGTGACATGCAGTTGATTGCAGAGGCTTATGATGTGCTTAAATCAGTTGGAAAGCTCTCTAATGAGGAGTTGAAGGATGTTTTTACAGAGTGGAACAAAGGAGAGCTTCTTAGCTTCTTGATCGAGATTACAGCAGACATTTTTGGAATTAAAGATGACAAAGGCGAAGGTTATTTGGTGGACAAAGTGTTGGATAAAACTGGCATGAAGGGTACTGGAAAATGGACAGTTCAACAAGCTGCTGAATTATCTGTTGCTACCCCTACCATTGCAGCATCTTTGGACTCAAGATTCCTCAGTGGTCTGAAAGAGGAAAGAGTTGAAGCTGCCAAGGTATTCAAAGCTGGAGGAGTTGAGGATACCCTCTCAGACCAAGTTGTTAACAAGAAGAAATTGATTGATGATGTTAGGCAGGCCCTCTATGCTGCCAAAATTTGTAGCTATGCACAAGGAATGAACTTGATCCGTGCAAAGAGTGTTGAGAAAGGGTGGGATTTGAAACTCGGAGAGCTTGCTAGGATATGGAAGGGCGGATGCATTATCCGTGCTATATTTTTGGACCGCATCAAGAAGGCATATGACAGGAATCCAAACCTTGCAAACCTCCTTATTGATCCAGAATTTTCAAAGGAGATGATTGAGCGTCAATCTGCTTGGCGTAGGGTTGTCTGCCTTGCTATCGGTTCTGGTATCAGCACCCCGGGTATGTCCTCCAGCCTTGCTTATTTTGATTCATATAGGAGGGAAAGGTTGCCTGCTAATTTGGTGCAAGCACAAAGAGATTATTTTGGAGCTCACACCTATGAACGGGTTGACATGCCTGGTTCTTTCCACACTGAGTGGTTTAAACTCGCTAAATCCAAGATCTAAGTTGAGACTTTTGATTTCTCTTCAAACTGTTTACTGTAATAATCAGCTTCCGGCCGCCAAATTTGAGCTGTGCGTTTCTTTTTATGATATTTATATGTTAGAGAACAGTTTTAATCTTTAAAGGCTTTTTTAATGGTGTTATATAGATTCCCTTTTCTCTTTGGCTTTCTTATCTTTTGGATGTTGTTAATCTTCAAGAACTCGAGTTGAGAAGCTTTTGATTTCTGCTGTCTTAAATATAATTATATTGCAAATGAACTCCCATCCTGTTTAGGGGTCTGAGTGTTCATTTTCAATTGCTCTTTGGATCAATTCTTTTACATGATAAAATCATCTATATACTACGACATTGTCTAGCTGATTACATATGTACCATATTGCATCCTGTGTTATATTTTTGTACGCTTGAACCTCTATCATCTTTAAGCTCTGTTTCTTGGTGTGCACCCTTAGGTGATACAGAATTACAGCTTCTTTGACTACACATCTACACTGTGCTCTGTTTTTTTTCCATCAAAAACTTATGCTGCATTAGAAAGCTTTTGCAATTCCTTTCAGTTTGAGTGTTGCTTTAAGATACACCATCGAAAGTTTAACTAGGATAAAATTAGCTGTAAGCCTGTAGCTACTGAATACTGCTTAAAGGGTTGAATTTGGCCCGCCTCTCCGTAGGCTAATGTCGTGCGATTAAGCAATTTCTTCGTGTCCTTCCCATCCTCACCCTCACCCTCTTCCATTACCCCATGAAAGGCTGTTGTGTACCTTACCTCAAAAAAAGAAAAGAAACCAAATTACTGAATACTGCTTAGTTATAAATGTGAACCCTGAATTCTGGCATTCTGAAACTCACAAATAACATCAAATAGTTTTAAAAGAAATGCTGAAGGATAAGATTAAGGTTAATACAGAAATAACTTGTCCCAGATTGCTGGTTAATTTTACCCATTAATTTTTTACTTTATTTTTTTCATTTCCTGCATTTATTCTTTTCCGAAATTCAATATTATTTCTTTCATTGGTTCATCCTGCCAAAAAAAATAAAATATATATACAAAGGCTAATTGGTATATAAATACTTCTACTAGCAGAACTATGCCGGCAGGTCAATAAATTGACTGTTTTTGACTGAAATGAATTCAGATGTGTACAAGTATATGAATTATTAATAAATGTTATTTATCTACTCTACAGTAGAGTACATTTTTGGCTCTTTCAGTTTATTTTGGGGCTCAGTTTGCACGAAATAAGAATAGACCATATAACATATCAGCTTTCTCATCCCTGGAGCCTAAGGTCCCTGTTCTCTTACACTATCGCGGCCTTGAGCGTTAACCATGATCGAAAAGTGATGATATGTTTCTTGAAGTTCTTGAAGTCTTCCTCTAATTTTCTCATTTTCGTGTCAGAGGTTTATTGTATGACTTTGTATAAGCTAGACTTTGATCACTTCATTGGTTAAAGTATTTGTCATTTGCTAAATGATTTTGCTGAATGATCTTTTGTACCATTCTATTTTTTCTCCAAGAGTAGAAATCCAATTAGGATCTTTTGTTCCATTCTATTTTGTTATCTTATACTTTGTATTTTATTATCTTTGGTTGTATCATGGCATCCACATATACCAACAACATTCAATAATTGAATTTAAGTTGATGGGTCGAAGTGATGCGAATGTGGGATATAAGATGAGACATATAATCTTAACTCTTAGTGTAAATTTCAAACATAAAAGACGGTGAATTTCATCTACATGAATGAAATGCCACCTTTTTATGGTTATGAACCTGCCACTTTTTTTTTTTTTTTTTTTTTTTTTTTTTTTAATGAAAATTGAAGGCTGTATATGTAGATGAGCTTGCACTTGAACAAGTGACATTAATGTAAATAGATTTTTTTTAAACAAAATTTAAAGAAAATCTTTTCAGATTTTAGCTATTTGTCTTTTTTATATAATAATTCCAACAGATGCCCTCCTCTTTTCAACTTCTTTCAAGTTTTTGTTGGCTTGCACTGTTGTAGCAAAAAAACACTCATAACATATGTTACTCGCACTCTTCATTTCATCTCAATTACCCGTGTTAGACGGTTAGATTCCCCAAAATCAGATTATGAATAGGACACTTCAACCCTTCATTTTCGACTAAAAGCATATAACTTTAGTACAAATTAGCTGAGTCGGACACTTGAATACAAACACGTATCTGACAATCTGACATTAGTACCTAAGTCCGAGCAACATAGTTTGTGGTAGTAATAAAAGAAGCGTTAGCAAGTGGAAAGAATTAGATTGGCTAGATCAAGAAGGCTATATAGGTGATGTGGTAGTAATTGCACTGGTGATGCTATATGAACCTAAGTAGGCAAATCATATATAGGCAAGCCTGGCAGTAGTAAATTACAAGCAGCTGCATCTTTCCTATACAACATGTGCCTACGGTTGGAGATTTCTGTCCCAATTTTTCCAGCTGTTATTTACATGTTTAATTTCTGACACTCCCCTGCTTCTGTTGCAAGTCAGACTGTCAAAATAATCCATTTTTCTGCTGCCTGAAATTTTCATTAACTACAGGTTGCTAATTTATCAGCTTGTTTTGTTTCAAGTAATCTGCTGTCTGTTTCTTAATTGAGATTTTAGAGTATACTTAATAACATAGCATCAAATTCTATACAGTCGATATGGGTATTTGAGGTGAGAACCGATCTAAGCTATAGTTCGCTCTGAATACATTAGTTGCCGTAACTGTTAGACAATGTTTCACATACACATGCTGCTTAAGATGTCCTGATGTTTTGAGAACATTCTTTCATACAGTATATAATTTCATGATTTATAGTGTTAAGTGTTATCTATTTACTATTTCCACTATTGCGCAAATGAGCCATTTGTGCCACTATCATACACATCATTTAAGGAGCACTATTTACTATAGTCTTATACAGTAAAACTAAAAATGTGATTGGTCTAACAAGAGTAGGAGAAATAGTAATGTATATTTGATCTCATTGAGAGGCTAAATGAACTCTGCTTTTACTCTTACTGTCTACCATATTGGTTTACTGCTTCCCAACAAGGAATTTGGTTTCCTGTTCTTAGAAACTTCATATCCCAACAGATTGCATTCAATGTTATCTTCTCTGTCTCAACTATAACCTGTTACTGTCTTATTTCACTTTTTTGGGTGTAAACGGCGAAAATTAGCCTATTGGAGCATAGCATGACTGTTGTTTGATTTTATCTATACGGCTATATATTGTCTTTTTTTTTTTTAACTTTCTTCGGGTGTAAATGAATTGAGTCGAGTATTTATCTGTTGGAGCGTAAATGAATCAAGTCGAGTATTTACATGCATGTTGGAACGTAGCATGACTGTTGTTTGATTTTCTTTATAATTTTAGATGCGTTTTTAGGGTAACTATTATTTTAGCTATATTGAAATAATTTTTTCTCAAAATGTTATGAAAACTTTGATTTTTAGAATATAATAACCCTTTTTGTAATACAATTATCTTTGTACACCACTTAAAACCATGGCATAAGTAGTCTTTAGAGATTGAATGGTGAGTTGTTAGTTGCCCTTTACTTGTGATTGATGATGATACGTGATAAAAAGATGCACATTTCCACATGCTTGAAATTTGCTGGAATTGTATTATTGATGTCTTTGGTAGATATATTCATGTGCCAATTCTTTCTAATTTCCTAGAATGCACAAATCAATTTTTGTCCTACTCCACATTATTTGCAAGAAGAATTGTTAGTTAATCTATTTGTTGGATCCTTAACAATCATTGAATAGGAAACTTCTCATTAATTCTCCCCAACCAATCGTCGTATCTAATCAGTATTCAACTAACACTCGATAAAGTATTACTTGTAATTAAATTTATAACTTCGGTGAACATGAACTATATATATAACTCATTAACAACCAATAATTCAGCCGGTAAACTCATACATTTTTCTTGTTATCTTTATAATAATTGTAGTTAACCCTACAAAATAGTCCAACAATTTCCTTAAAATCGTAAAAATTCCTTGTATCTATGACTTGTTAAAGATTCTAGTGAAATTGTAGGACCCTTTTACTAAAAAAAATCCATAAGTCAATTTTAAAAATCAAAATTGTGATACATTTTCTTTCATGTTGTAACATCAAATTCCACGTGCATGAATATAATTCTGCACATGAACCCTATCTTGTTATATGCAATATTTCCCTCAATTACCAAATATTCTTTGCTTCAGGGCATGTTAAGATGATGAATAGTGCCAGCCTAAACAAAGAGCTTCCCACAACTCTTAACATTACAGCATGTCACCATCAACACCCCCACTACTTTTGGTTTTTCTACGAGGTTAAAAGTTTTTTTTTTGCTAACAAAATGTTGCTGTCATTTAAAAGTTCTTTCATTTGCACATTCTGGTTGGTAGCTAGGTAATTAATTACTCCCTTCGTTTCAATTTGGATTGTTGATTGTTACGGGTATGAGGTATAGACTAGTAAGACTACTTCGGTTTTATCTCAAAACTGAAGTAGTCAAATTGAATGTGATAAGAACCACTATTCCTAAGGATACATTTTGGACCTCTCCATTCTTAAGACGAATTAAGATCATAGTTCTTATTGTACTATCGGTATTGATATATAGCAATATTATTCCCTTCGAAATAATTGTCATATTATCATAAATGGAAAGGGACCACTATTGTCTTGACACCTAACACATGCTTACTACGAGTATTATGTTAAAATAATGTCTTAAAAAGTGTCTCACTTATTCATTCTGAAATAAAGGGATATGATTATTATTCTTATTATTATATATATATGTATATATATATATATAAAAGAATCAAACTCTATATATTATCGACTTTTAGCTAGATATACAAACATAAAAGAAATTTCTAAAATAAAATAAAGAAGAGGGAAGAAGCTGATTATGAGATAATAATTGGACATCACATCATTATGAATTATACAGCTAAAAATCTAAATTAAATGCCATCATGTCAAAATAGTAAAATTTGACAGCTTTAACGTATTAGAATTTAGAACCAAAACATGATTCTTAAATTATCCACAATGGTGACCTGACCATGTGAGATTGTGAGGTGTGAAGCGATCTTGTACTAAACGAAACTGTTTTCACCATTCATAGCCACAATGAGAGACTGCGAGTGGCGAATCAAAGTGGAACACTTTATATTCTTAACAACGAGTTAAGGACCAAACAACAAGAGAGAAAGGAGAAGATATATCCTATCTTCCCCTTCCTCGTGACCTAATTTTTAACACCCTTCTATCAATAGTGCAAAAATCGCGAAAAAAAACAACCCTGAATTTTGTTTTAGATAGCATAATAATCTAAGGTACGATAGTCTAGGAAAACCTTATACCTCTTATAACATGTCTTGTTAGGCAAAGGTGGTGTAACGCCTTAATTAATAATTTAGTTTGTACTCGTAAAATTTAATTAAGTACACACATATTATATGGATTGAAACAATTACAAAAACAGAAAATCACACATCAGTGGATGCAGGCGAAATTCTTGCTGTTAAAACAAAACAAAGCAAAACTAACAAGCAGGAATTTTTTTTTTCTCCTTCTTTCTAAATAAAATATAATATAAACTTAATTGCAAAGGAAAAAAGTTGCCTACAAATTTGATATTTGGTCTTTACCCTTAACCCAACCTTTTTACCAACTCCCCCTACCTAATCTAACAAGTAAATTAAAATAACTAATTTGGTTTTTATTTCTTACCTTTTCTTTGTTTCAAAACAAAAGTAGTACTACTTGGTTTATTTGTAGTTTCCTTTCCTTTTCCACTACCATATTTTGTTGTATGATTCTTCTTTTCCTTCACTTCTTTGCTAGATTTCTTCCCTTGTTGTTGATGGTGGTGGTGGTGGTGGTGTTGGTTTTCAGGTTCGGCGTCATGGTAAAGACCCGGACCTGATGATGCATCCGAAGTAAAAGAATCATCATCTTCATCATCATCATCCTTATTTTTTTTATATTTGTAAGTCTGACGATGATGATGATGAAGATGATGATGTTGATGATGACGACGATGGAGTTCATCATCGTCGTCATCATCAACCCCGCTGTAGTTATAATTCTCGCTTGGATCAATATACTTGGTCCAACCCGACTCGTTGCTGCTACATTCTTCTCCGCCTTCCATACCTCTCTAGGAGAAAATTAAAATATAAGATTGTTTTAAGGAGAGAGAAAAAATAAAAGGATAGTGTTTTTATTTGTGTTTTAAGAGTTTTGACCTGGGAAGATATATAGTACGAGTAATGAGTAGTAGAGAGGGTTGAAAGAACCACTAAAAATGTAATGTAAACTTTATTTATTTAATTTTCCTCTCAAAAAATAAAAAAAAAAGGAAGTAAAGAAGCAACAAAACAGCAAATAGCTAACAATCTTTAAACACATGCATGCCCATAAAAGCTTTATTAGCTAAACTTACATTGGGAGTATGTTTTGACTTCTACTCAGGATTTAATTCCTCCACCTGGCACTTCTATCACCCTATTTATTCCGTCCTTTTGTTTGTGACCTTTTTTATTCATTAATTATTTCTATGTTTTCTTCTTTAATTAATATCTTAACAACAACTATTATTAGCCATTCACTTTTCCAAATTAGAAACAAATGTGTGTTTGATAAGTATTAATTATGTGGCTTATGTTATGATGTTTGTCACAAATGAAACTACTCTTAGGGTCTATTATATTGACCTGATTTTTATTGGTATATCTGAAAATATCTAAACTTGTTAGAACTTATTTTATTTATAAATTGAGATTTAATAGACCATTATATCAACTCTTATTTACAAATGTTTGACTCGTGAGTATTCAAGATGACATGAATTTGATCCAAAATGAAAAATGCTTCCTTTTTTTTTTGTAAGGAGGGAGATTGTACTAGGCCGAAACCTCTAATTCATCAACCTAACACGTGTGACGATTTGATGGGCAAAGCCGCTATATTTGGAAGAAAAGAAGGGTAAGGGAAATTGCACCTCAAGTAGGGGTGATTATGGGCCGACCCGAGCCTTGGCCAAAACAGGGACCCATTCTGATAAAAGACTTTGAGTTGACCCAAATTCGGCTATTTTGGACCAAATTTAAGTTGGTCCAAAACTTATATTTTACTATTTTTCTGCCTACTAATGGTCCCTTCATATCATATTTTAATATTTTTTTCATATTCTCTCTTCTCCCCACTTATACTCACTTTTGCATTTTTCAATTTTTTTTTTCAATTAAATCATAAAAATAATACTTTCTACTATTCTTCTTAAAACTCAATGTTTTGATAAATGGAGCAAGCAATAAAATACAGAGAGAGTACCTTTACGCAGTGTTTGGATAAAAAAAAAGGAGGAAGGAAAAGAAGGGGAGGGAGGAGAAGAGGAGGGGAGGGAAAGGGAGGGGAGGGAAGAATGTTGAATTATCATTCCAAGTATCTTCACTGTTGGAGGGTTCAATTTTCTACAATTTAATCCCTTCATTTCTCTCCCCTCCAATTCCCTTCCTTCCTCATTTGTTATCCAAATGAAAGATATTCCATCTCTCCATTTCCCTTCCCTTCCTTTTCCTCCATTTTCTTCAATCCAAACACACAATTAGACTCTAGTACTTTTTAAGGTGGTGAAATGTATAGCAAATAGTTGAAAATTAATTATAAAATGTGGTCTAATAAATTTATGGGTGATGTTATAAATTAACTAAGCTTAGGGCTGCAAATAAACATTTATTTTTTTTTGGTGTAAATTTAGGAATTTATAACAAAATCATGCGCAAATCAGTGTAATTAATGAATATATTTCATTAATACTTTCCTCCTTTACCTTCTTATCCAAAACCCTTAGGGTTACATATAGCAATTTCTTTATGGAATGATAGATTTAAATGTCAATATACTAGTTCCCATAAAGATGGGTATATGTCATTTTTCCCAAATGAAAATTGTATTTTTGTGATTTAATAGACAATTTTGTCCAAAGTTAGTCAACATATTACTTATGTATCAAACGATACAAATAAAAAAATAAAAAATAAATAAATAAACTAAAATAAAAATCGGCAAAGCATCAGTCAATTTATCAAACAATATTGACCTAACTTTTAGTTAAAATTTGGGAGTATTTGTTGTTTACTACTTTCCCATCAGAAAAAAAAAAATTACGCTCATTGCTCATTGGATAATATAGATATAGAAATAATAGTTTGTTGGGTACATAATCCATTCAATTGACTGAACTAGTTGTATTCAAGTAATATATAGGGGAGGTTCAAGTGAGAACCTCTCTTACAATAAGAACTCATTTTAGAGTGAGAACTTTTCATCCTACCCGTTGGATTAAAATGAATGGCTCAGATTAAAGGGTTTTAATTAATGACTATAATGACCCCATATATAAGCTTTAAAAAATCGACCCCTTCCCCTTCTTCTTCCTCTCTCTCTCCTCTTGAGTTCTTCCTATTCTTCTTCTTTCCCCCACAAAAAATTAGAACGGTCCTAAATGCTTTTGCATATCATTTGAGCAATACTTGAACTTTCTTATACTAGTATTACTGATTCTACCTCTAACCATCAACATCTAACCAAAATACAAAACTAACAACTACATATATTAGGCTATGTGGGAGTTGAACCCACACCTTGTGAACAATAACACATTGCTCTACCATTTGAGCTAATAGCCTATAAATTAAAGAGATTGAAATACAGATTATACAATCAAATTTAAATTGTAAGCTATTTTCATTTGTGGTAAAGACGTTTGTGACATAAGTGCAAAAAAGCTCAGAACTCATTCCAGTAATATCCTTTAATAATGACAAAAAGTGCACGAAATCATTGCAATTGATATCATGCATTCATATTTTCAAATTACAAGATTGAAAATGAAAGATCCAGAATCATAATATTCTGACTAATTAAGAACCCCCCAAAAAAAAAAAAAAAATTGGGAGAATAAAAACTTTAAAAATATACCTAAAAAATTGCTGCTCATCATTCATACAGATAACTCAATTCGCTATAATTAGATCTACATTTTGAGCAAAATTAAGGTGGTCGAGCCACATAACCTTAGGCCATAAAAAATTTGTGAGAAATGGAAAAGAAGATCTATAATATGTAAAATAATGAAAAATTGAATCATTACCATAGTTTTTGAACATGAAATAAAAGAACAATTGCTCATCATACGCATACCATCAATTTGAGGGACAGGGAAAAAACAGAAGAACTCAAGAGGAGAGAGAAAGAAGAAGGGGAAGGGTCTGATTTTTTTAAGCTTTTATATGGAGTCATTATAGTCATTAAATAAAATCCTTTATCTGAGCCGCTCATTTTAATCTGACGGATAGGATTACAAGTTCTCACTATTAAATGAGTTCTTATTGTAAGAGAGGTTCTCACTTGAACCTCCCCCCCTATATATATATATATATATATATATATATATATATATATATATATATATATATATATATATATATATATATAAACACTAAAGTTCTCAGTGACAAACAAGCCAAAATATATATTATTCAATGAAAGTAATAAATTTATATTGCTCGGGATATCGCCCCGGCCTCGTAACTAGTTATACATCTAATACTAAACTTATATAAATCATTTTTTTTTTATAATTCCATTTGAATGCATGTACTATTATTAGTGCTTATTGAGTTGATTTTTTTTTCTTCACATTTAAGAGGAGTGCCTATCTATTTTGTTATATATTAATATTAATTATTGAGTAGCACTAAAGTGAGTACTAATAAAAGAAGAGCAACAAAAATTGGAAAAATATACTACGTATAAGATTAGGGATAGGAAAAGGATCAAATGTTAAATCAACAAGGGTTTGTGTTTATCAAACCTAAATAAATATACTGTAGATAGATATATAGATAGTACTCATTTGCCCTAAATTATTTACAAATTTTTACCTACAGCCCACGGTATGGAACACTACCTGCACCCCCCACCCTCTGCGCGTGTTCTGCCCCCGCCCCTTTTATATACGAATTTTCTTTAAATTTTAATAAAATGTTCATTTATGTATTGGTAAATGTTCATTTGTGTCATAAGATGTTCATTTTATAACAAGAAGTTTTTTGTTCAAATTAATATATTTTTAATTGAATTTTAAGAATTTTTAATAATAAATAATGAGAGCAAATTTATTTATAAAGATTGTTGCGTTCAAATCATTTTAATTATAAGAAGTATTGCATCATCCATGTTCATTTTTGTTTATTCGTGTTTCAACAAATGTTAATTTCGAGAGTTATGTGTAAGTTTCATAGTAAGATGTATGCAAATACATACATTTAGATTTATATTTATTTAAATAAATCGTTGTTAACAAATAATTTTCAATATAAAATACATTTAATTTAATTACAATAATTACTCATTACTATATAGCTATACTATTACCTACAATTGTTCCGATCCATAAACATGAAATTGAACCAAATGTAAATATGTATCTTGCTAAATGTACATTATTTGTTACATTTGATATAATAAGTGTGTATATATATATATATATATATATATATATATATATATATATATATCCTCCTTGAAGCAACCCTAATCATATACTTGTGTGTTTCCCATGAAAAATATAATCTATATGAGCATAATATATATGTTGCTTTCAACTTCCTTACTTGATAATCCTGTACAATGAGAGATCGATCAAACTTTTCAGAATTAATAATAACACATTCCAAACAAAAGTATATGAAATCTAAGGGTTCAAAATTGAACATTTACTCATGAATAACAATTAGAATTTAAAAATGAACACACTATAAAGATATAAAAATAATGCAATACATGAGAATAAAAAAGTATAAAATCTAAATGAACATGTATTGTATTTTAAATGAACATTTAAATCACTTCCATGAAACAAAATATGACAATTAAATCATTCACAAAAACAATTTTGAACACATTGCTAAAAAATGAACAAATATTGATATCTAATTGAGCATCTTTCAGCATGAAAATGAATATACACCAAAAGTCAAATGAACATTTTCAATACGAGAATGAACAAATAAAAAAAATTTAATTAAGCATTTTTTAATATATAATAAAAAACAAGTATTAAAAATTGAAACAAATATCTTTTAATATGAGAATGAAAAAGTATAAAACTAATGACTATGCTTAGATATAAAATTAAATATTATATTTGCAAATGAACATCTTTCCATATGAGAACGAACATGTAATGCAAAGAGAATGAACATGTATCAAATTTAAATGAACATATATTAATATGAAAATAATCATGTCCTAAATGAATATGAATTCCATTTAAAATGATTTTTTTTTTCACCTAAAAGGAACACTTATGATAGATACTAGCCAAAATTTTTCAAATAACACTTTTTAGTGACAAAATAAGTAATACTAAATAATAATTGATGCTTCAATTTCACAAATCAAATTTATAATTTGTCTTTAATTTTAGTTATTATAAATTTATAATTTTTTTTTTGCAATTATAATTTGAAGTTTAACCCTTTTACAAATAAACAT